TATTATAGAATTATACACTTGAAACCTATGTAATTTTACTAACCATTGTCACCCCAATAAATTTAATTAAAAAAAAGAAAACTACCTATGAAAAGTATTATTGAGGTTTTTAGAAGAAAATAACTTCTAATCAGTAAAATGACTTCTGTCAAAATGGTTGTCTCCCATCCCAATGGTTGGAACCTGGGTGGCTGGGGGTCAGGGATGTAAGGGAGATTTTTCATCCTGTATGAACCCTTTTGTTCCTTTTCAGTTTTACCCATGGGGAATGTATTGCCTACATCCAACATAAATGAGTACTTATTTAAATTTAAAGGATAGCAACACTTTTTTCTTTAAAAAAGGGGAAGAGTCTCTTTATGACTCTGGGGTAGTAGTATCTGAAACAAGAATGACAAACTATAAAGGCAAATATAAGTAAATTGGATTACCTTAATGGGTTGTCAGAAAAGTCATGACGTATTTTTTCTATGTTTTTCGTTGCAAAAATGCATCATGACTTTTCCGACAATCCAATAGTATAATAGTTGATATCAAAAACATAAATTGGTTGAGAGAGAAACCACAGACTTCGACACGTCCAGAACAACAAATGATTAATATCGAAAATAGTATGTAGAGGATACCTATAAACAGGAAAGAAAAACCCAATAGAAAAACGGGCAAAGGCTATGAATAGTAACAGTAAAGAAATCTGAAGGGCTAATAAACATGGAAGATCAATGTCATATCCATTTGATTGACACCGTGTCTCAAGTTTGACCACAGTAGGAAATGTTGGCAGAGATATGTGTGTGTGTGTGTGTGGGGTGNAATTTTGCATCTTATTAACATAATCAGAAAAGTATAAAACAAATTGACAGAACTATGAGAAATGGCCAAATCTATAATCATAGTAATTTTAGCACATCCTTTCAGTAATTGACAGCTAAGCAGACAAAAATCAGTAAGGATTAGAATTTTGAACAAAATTAGGTCTGTGGTCTATCTATAACTGTGTAAATTAAACACTGCAGCCTAATATATATTTAACTTAAATTTTCAAAGAATGGCCCTATTCGGGCCTTAAAGTAAATCTCAAAGGATTGAAATTATATACAGCAGGTAGTCTGATCACAATTCAGTTAAACTAGAAATATGAATAAAAAGATAGAGAATCTTCATATATTTGAAAATTAAAGTATGCTTCTAGTATTTATAGGCCAATAAAAAGGAAAATAGAAAACGTTTTGAAAAGAATGATAATGAAAATACTATATATCAAAACTTGTAGGATGTAGCTAAAGTATGATTTACAGGGAAATTTGCAACTTTAAATACATAATAGTGAAAAAGAAGAAAAGATGAAAATAAATGAGCTAAGTAAGCATCAGTCTCCAGAAATTACAAAAAGCAAAGTAAAGTTAAACCAATCAGAAGGAATGAGAAGGAATTAATGAAACAGGAAACAAATATATAGTAGAAAAGTTCAACAAAGCCAAAACTTCATTCTTACGAAGATAAATAATGTTGACAAATATAAAGCAAAATTTACTAAGAAAAAGGCACAAATAATATCAAGAATATAAAATGGGACTTCTACATTGTGGTCAACATTAAAAAAATAAGCGACTATTATTAACGTGTGCTGAATAAAAATAAATCTAATTAATATCATAGATATTAAAATATCTGAAGGATCCAGATGAGAGGGTACTGTACCACGTGTAGAAGGTTTCATTTTTACATCCCAACGTGGCAATAATTTTCCAAGTTCTTACAACATAAATAAATTTGTAGGAAAATATAAATTGTCAACACTGAACCAAGAAGAGAACCACAAACCTAATAAAAAGGATATCTTCAAAAAGCAGACAACAAACGTCACCCTAAATAACAAGACACCTAAATCTTGCCCTTTGAGATTAGGAAGAACAGGATGTCTGCTGTCATTCCTTTTCTTTAGCACTGTGTGGGAGGTCCTATCCTGTGCAAAAATTCAAGAAAACTGAAGCAGAAGATATGAAGATTGGGAAGAAAGAAACAAAAACTGTGATTCATAGGCAGTGTGCTTACATATGTAGAAAATAATTTTTTAATCTAGATGTTACTAGAATTAGGTAAGGTTGCTGAGGAAAAAAATCAAATTACAGTTCTCTATACCAGCAACAAACAAAAAATAAAACTTAAAAGAGACACCATTGGCAATAGTGTAAAAACTGTGAAGAACCAAGAAATAACTCTTTCCAAAATCATGTTAAGACCCCATAGTGCATTATTTTCCTCTACCAGGATACCTGTGTTTTTCTGTTTAGATGTCTTTACAATCATATAACCATATAAATGAGCAGCTCCTATCCTATCCTGTCCTGTCCTGTCCTACCCTACCCTACCCTACCCTACCCTCTCCTCTCCTCTCCTCTCCTCTCCTCACCTCACCTCACCTCACCTCATGTCGTGTTTAGTAGAGTCTTCATTCAGTGGATGTGCTGAGATTTGCTTGGATATAGTGCAGAAGCAACTGATCCTGCTTTCTGGGAGCCTAATGTCTATTGCAGTAAGCATTCTGTGGTGGGCTAGTACATCTTAACTGTTCATGTCTATTTTGAGAAGTCAAGATTCTTGATTCCTACCTTGTAGGCATATTGTCTTCATAAATGGGTTGGAGCCTGTAGGCTTCTTATAAGTTCTCAGAAGATTTAGGTCTATCTACATACCTGCTTTCCCAAAGACTACTATTTTGAAGAAATACAAAAACATGTCAGTTCTTTATTTTTTTTCCCTTAAGCATAGAAATTGAATCTAAAATGGCCAATGAATAAGCAAAGGCTTATAATAGAATACATTTCTATTTTTAGTGTTTCAATCTTTCTTTAAAATGAGTAGCCTTGTTTCTTTAAAGTAGGAAGTCAGTTATTTCCATCCTCTTTAAGCATGAAATAAATTATTTCAGAATACATCTTTTACTTGCAGCATTTCTCTTAGTTTCTCTGGGTGAAAAAATAATCAGAGATTATACTTAAAATTTAAATCAGATGATCTGAATACTCTTCTCCAGGCATTTAGAAATGTTCAAGTGAGTAAGTATGCTTTAAAAGCATAGCTAAGCTTACAAGGTAATAAAGAGATTGCCAGAGGCCATAAACCAAGGGTTGAGGGAGTGACTGGGACCCTGGAGTAAACTGACCCTGGGGTGTGGATGGGGCATTGTTAGCCAGAGTCTTCTTGGGTCTGTGGCCTTGGGCTTTAATATCCAGGTAGGGACAGGGGTTTGTCTAAGGTAGGGAGTGGGACCTGAGCCTCTCCTTATACTCCCAAGTGAAACTTGTATCCTTGAAGGTCCACACCCTCAGTGAGAGGACAGACTAGTGGCAAGAGGTGGTGACATGAGCTTAACAGTTTTGTTCTGAGGCGGGGGGAGCAAAGTCTCCTGTGAATTGGTAACAGGAGGTCCATGCTTGTAAAAAATTAGTTCTTGGATGCAGATTTCTCTGACGGCCTAGTTGAAGCAAAGATAAAACCGCCATGTATTGACAACCCCACAATTCAGCCCAGACAGGATTTCCACTGTTGAAGTCCCACCAAAGATATGACACAAAAGCACTATTAAAGGCATAAAAGTAGGTAATGAAAAACATTAACGGGAAGAATAATACTAGGAAAAAAAGGAGACTGACTTGGCAAAAAACAAATAGAATAAGTTAAAGGACTGATTATAGAGCTGGTTAGATTCAGATGAGGAAATAATTTGGTGAAGTGGAGCATATATCTAAGCAGTTTTCCCAAATGGTACCACAGAGATATTGAGGTCTAATTAGCAGTTCTACCACAAAGAAAGAGAGACAAGAAATTTTTCAAAGTGGCCCAGGGTTTCCCACAATTGACAAAAAACATGACTCCTCAAACTCAGAAAGCACAATAAACTTGAATAAGATAAAAATACACACCAAAAACTATTTTGTTGAACCCTTAGAACCCCAAACATGGATCTTAATATAATAGTAATGAGATTTTTAAAAAGGTATTATAAATGAATGACAACTTGACTGACAGCATGTTTCTATCCCCCTCCCCCCGACCCCGCCAAAAAAAAAAGCCAGAAGACAACATAATATCTTCAAAGCAGTGAGAGAAAATAACTGTCAGCATGGAATTCCATACTCATTTAACCCATTCAGTTTCTTCAGGTCTATAAGGACTAAGAGAGGTTATCAAGAAGAGATCCTTGCTGAAAGAACTAGTGAGGGATATACTTTTGGGAAGATCCAAAAAGAAGGGAGTGAGATGTAAGAAGCAGTGATGAGCAAATAAATTGGTAAACATCTGGGTAATTTAAACATGAGCTGCCTGGAGCAAAACAACGAGTAGTCCAGGTGTGAGAAGGAGAATGGGATGCAGCAAGGTGGGAAAGGGGCTCATCACAGGTAGAAGGGCACCAGACTTCAGGCCTACAGTTCTTCTACTGTTGGGGAAGTGGCAGGAGGCATTGGTGAAATGAGGTCAAATATGTATGTTAGGAAAATGTAAGGGTGAAAATCATTTTGTCATTTTAGTACTCATTAATGAAATAGAAATAGAATGTATAACTTCTAAATACCATAGAGGAAAAGGGGATAAAATTTAAACAGTCCAATAAAATACAAAAAAGAGGAGAATAAGCAGAGAAAAAGTATTGTAAATAGGAATCACAAAATAAGAGCATATATTAGTTCAGTTATATAGGAAATCCCAATAGATATTAATGAACTAAACCTACCAGTTAAAAAGACAAATTGCCACACTGGTCTTAAAATAAAATCCAGCTATATGCTATTTTTGAGAGCTCTACTTAAAATATACGAACACAGAAAGGTTTGAAAGTAAAGAATAGCAAATGATTCTAGGCAAGTATTAACCCCACAAAGTTGGTATAACTTTAAAAATAATCAGACACACTAGACTTTAATGAAAAAAAAATTATTGTTAGAGATAAAGAGGGTCACTGCGTAATATGGGGAAAAATAGGNAACCAGGGCAAAAAGGCAGAGGGGGCCCCCAACCAGGGCAAAAAGGCAGAGGGGGCCCCCAGCCAGGGCAAAAAGGCAGAGGGGGTCCCCAGCCAGGGCAAAAAGGCAGAGGGGGCTCAGAATCAGGGTAAAAAAGCAGAGGGGGCTCAGAATCAGGGCAAAAAGGCTGAGGGGCCCCAGAATCAGAGCAGAAAGGCAGATTCGGTTGCTAATCAGGCCACAAAGGTGGAGGGTGTTGCAAACCAGGGGAAAAAAGCAGAGGGGGCCCCCAATCAAGGGAAAAAGGCAGAAGGAGCCCCAAACCAGGGCAGAAAGGCAGACGGGTCCCAGAACCAGGTCAAAAAGGCGGATGCCTCTTCCAATCAGGGTAAAAAGGCAGAGTCAGCTCCTATCCAGGGCAAAAATGCAGATATGGTCAAGAGCCAGGAGGCACCAAAGCAAGAGGCTCCTGCTAAAAAGAAGTCTGGTTCAAAGAAGAAAGGTGAGCCTGGTAAGTAGCTTTGATTTCTTTATGAACTTTGAGGACAAGTTTTCTTTAAATGGCTTATGGATCCCCTTTGGGGAAGCCATCTTTACCAGTCAGCTATTGCCACAATAAGGCTGCATAACAGACATTCCAGATTTCAGAGGCTTATACCAGCAGTCATCCTTGCTCTTCTGTTGAATTGGCTGGAGGTTGACTGATCTGGGTTGTCTCAGCAGAGTGGCTCTGCTTCATGCTGCAGTTTAACTGGGTTTGGCTCCTTACTGCAGGTCTGTTCTACATGTGTTCATTCTGGGGCCCAGGCTGAGGCTTTAGTGACTCTCAGGGCAGAGGCATTGAGCTTAGCTTCTCTTTGTCTGTTCAGGGCCTGTCCACCCCTAGCTTCTCTGGGGCTGTGTGTGCCCAACTTGAGGGAACTGTGGGCACAACTTTGGTTAGGCTGGCTGGGCCCTGGGCATCCAGAAACTTGGGGACCTGGAGATGGGAGTAGCTTTGGGGGCCTGATGACCGTGGGAAGGTACTAGGGAAGTAGGTTCCAGATAACTGGTGTGAAGCAAGCCAGGAAGGGAGCTCCTCTGAATCGAGGAGACCTTGACTTGGGTGGAGAGCTCCAGGGCCATGAAGTTTAGACCCTGGATACCCAAGAGCTAGAATCTAGGGCTGTGCTGTTCAGTACGAGAGTTGCTGGTCACATGGGGCCATATAAGTCAACATTCAAGTCAATTAAAAGTCCATAAAATGAAGGATTCAGTCACACTAGCCACAAGTACCCAGTAGTATTCACACGTGGCCAATGACTGCCCTGTTGGACAGTGCAGATGAAGAACAACATCTCCAGCAGCATTGTAAGTTCTGCTGGACAGCGCTGCTCTAAACAGGAGCTGTGGGGAGGCAGGTGGCCCTGTGAAAATGAACACATCTTTGCAGCCTTGTGTTGCCACCTTCCTGCCCTGTTCTCTCTTCTGCCTGCTTCCTGAATGGTGTTGGGGTGAGCTCCCTGTGTCCTCCATATCATAGTAGATGAGATGAATGAGGTCATGGAGGCTGTAGCTTGCCATGATATGTGACACATCAGTGCAAAACCCACCCTGGAGCTGGGGCCCACCAGAGACAGGGTTTCTTCCTTGGTTATCATGGGGTTGGTCTAGCAGGGCTCTTGCTGACAGGTGCCCCAGAGGAATACCCGGCAGGTGTGAAGGTGGGCACAGGACACACTTCTGCAGGTCCGACTTGGAACTGTTCCAGAACTTGTGATCTGATTTTCCTACAAGAGCAAATCAAGGCCATGGGACAGCTTTTTACCACTTGTGGCCAGATTTGACAGTGAACACCTGCCTTCTTAATCCTTGCTTTTCAAAGTTTGTTATTATATGAATATGTGCTTTCAGCAAACAAAATTCAAGCTGTATAGAAGTATGGAAGGTGAAAGTTGAAAGTCTTCCTTTCCACTCCATCCCATTCACCACCTGCTTCCAGGGGGAGCCACGGGGATGCTCTGCTCATCACACCCGATGCACAGATGGGGCTGCAGCACACACAGCTTTAGAACTGGCTGTGTTTACTTACAAGTGTACTGGTGACATCTTTCCATATTGCCCCTACAGGGCTGCCACTTTCAGCTACGTCATATTTCATAGCATGAATGTATCATAATTTATTTAAATGACATTAAGTAGTGTGCAGTTATTTTGCTGCTAAAATTAGTGCTGCAGTGATGTATATATATTGTGTGAGTATCTCTAGGAAGTAAGTCCCTAGATATTGCTAAGTCAAAAGGTAGGAACATTTTTAATTTTTTTTTTTTTTTTAAGATTTTTTTTGGGGAATTGGGGATGGGAACAGACAAGTTGCTGTCGTTTTTGTTCTTCAGTCTAGTTGTGGAGGATGTTGTTTCACTGGCCCAAGTTGACACCATCATTGCGCTCTTCCCAGGTGAGGCAGATCAGTTGCTGGCTTTTGGATGGCCGCTCACTGCGGCTGCTGGCTGCTGGCCGCTCACGCTGGCTGCTGGCTTGCTGGCTACACACGGTAGCCCATGGCAACCCACTGCCACAGGGGCTGCAGCCTATGCCATCGCCAGCGACCCACGGCAGCCCAGCTCCAGGTCGAGCTGTTGTTCAGCATCTTAGCTGTGGAGGGCAGTGTCACTGGCCCTCATATGTGGGATCCGAACCGGGGCCCTCTGGCATCCCAAGCCAGTTCTTAACCATCGCGTCACTCGGCCGGCCCGGTACATTTTTAATTTAGGAAGACAGTACTGCGTCACCCTCCAAAAACCTTTGACAACTTACCTTTGTCTCAGAGTGAGAGAGGCCCACATGAATTTCCAGCACCCTCTGTTTGACCTTACTGCTCACATGGTGCTGTCGAAATGGTGATAATGTCAAGGTAGCATAAACCCAGGTATATAACAAGGAGAAAATACTTACTTATGAAACAAAAGGCATGGATTCTTGTCTCAAATGTTTGGAGAAGAGAGAATTCATGAAACCAAAGAGAAGTGGAAATTTTCCAGAACTAAAGCTTCCAAGTGTTTGCAGAGCTGTGTAGGCCTCTGCTGGATCATTCTCTGATAGTTGCCTCAGCACTTGTGCATGGTGCTTATTAGAAAAGCTACGTTTCTTTCACAGGAAGTGTGTGTACGTGTATATGAGGTGGTGATGGTTTTTTAAAAACCTGTTTTTGTCCTCAGACTTAGTCTGTGCCTGCGTAATTATGCTGGCCTGCCTCCCCTGCGCCTAGCGTGTGCTAATGGGTGTGTTAGCGTCCCACTTTCAGGAGAGCCATCCATCCCAGGACCTGGAAGCAAGCCCAGATTAGTACAACGTGGGCTTGGGTCCCAGATAAACCAAAGACTTAGAATCAGGAAGTACAGGATGCGCTTCTGGAAATCCCACATTCAGATGAGATCTAGAACACCGGGCTTCTGCTGGAGCTTGGTTTGTGTGGTATAGCCAGGTGGGCACGGCCCTCCTCTCCTCTTTTGGACAGTGGGCTGGCCTTATTCCCAACTTCCCCCCCATTTGTAGGTGCAGGCCATTTGCTCTGGGCCCAGAAAGCCATCACGACAGGGCCTAGGAGAGCCTAGCTACACTCTAGGACACACAGGTGTTCACAACCCCATGATGACCCTGTGGTCAGATAAACATACCCGTGTGGGAGAAAGAGGCCATCTTTGGGGGACAGGACTATACGTAAATGTTAATATTTTCACCCTTCTCTATTTCCCAGTTTTTCTGTAACATGTATTTTTTTTAATTGAAAAGAAACAAAAACTCCATTATTTGTCTGAGTCAAATAAACAGGCCCTCATTGTACCAAGCGGAACTCCTGTCCTTTCAGGTACTGTGAGGTGGTCCAGCCCTGACCAGAGGCCCCCTGAGCATCCTCTGAGCAGCAGAAAGAAGTCCTTGCTCCTTTAGAACGGCCAGGTTGAGGTCCGTTCTTCTTAGGCCTGTCCTAGCCCTGGGCACCGAGTAAATGGTCACAGACTGAGCTAAAATGGAAAGTTTATGGTGGGTGCTGTATCTGTGAACCTGGCAGTGTACCTGGCAGCTCCATGTTGTGCGAGGCCTTGCCAGGCCACTTGTACCTCTGCCAGAGCTGGTGGAAATGCAAATAGGATCATGTTGTATAACCTAATGAATGGGGCAGGGTCGCCAGAGGTCAGGGGAAATGGGGAAACATTTTTAGACCTACCAGGAAAGCTTTATTCAAGGTGTCTGTAGCTTAGCAGGGGCCTCATCTTCAACTGTGTGACTTCATGATAACACTACCCCTTCCTCCCTCCTCCTCCATCTCCCCTCCCCCCATGCCGTCCTTTGTGCTGTGGGCTTGCTGTGTCTGAGGCCAGTGCTGGATCACCACTGTGAGTGTGACACCACCGCGCGCTCCTCAGCCAGATGTTTGGTTAGGTTGTGCTTCATGAAGCTCTTCTCCATGCATTTATTCCCCTAACATTGTGTAAGGTGCCTTTGTGTTTTTACCTATTTTACAAAAGCAGAAGCCAAAGCTGAGCTCTGTTTTGAGACTTCCCAGAAATCACAAGGCCAGCAAATGGCAGGACAGGCCTCAGCCTGGGTCTCTATCTGCCCCCGCCCCTCCTCCCCTTATAGGGCTGAGGCACAGACAGGTGTGTATTGAGAGTAAGTTTGATGTTCTTTCTTTTGAACTTAACTCAGTTTTCAGGGTCTGAAGGTCTGAAGGAATCTCTGTGGGGCTTTTGAGACTTTATTCACTTTCTGGGTAAGTTCTTCAAACCCAACTTTTTCTTTTCTTCTTTTTTAAAAGAACAAAAACATCCTCTAGGGAAGTAAGCCAAGTATCAGTGTGGCACTGCCACGTCATAGAGAAGCTGCAGGTGATGTTCTTCCAGAACTCTCCAGTCATCTTAAAACATGGCAGCACTAGGCAGGAAGCTCGCGATTGTACATCCTTTGTCTTTTCTGCAGGTTTTACGTAAAGTCTTGATTGTCATTTCGGGCCTGCTGTCCTTGGACCAGCCTGCGTGCCTGAGGAAGCCCAAGGAAGGATCTTGCCCAGAGGTCCTCTGAGGGTTGCCTTTATTTTAAAAACACTGTGATGTGTTTTTTGTTTTCAGATATTAAATTGATATTTTTGAAATTTGGGGGAAAAACAAAAGTGTAATGAGAAAAATAAAGCCATGCAATCTAAAATGAAAAAAATTGCAGTAGACATCATTAAGAGTACAATCTCCCAGTTGATTACCAGATTATATTTTCCTCCAACCAAAGAAAAAGGCCTGATTCAAAGGCCTCACAAAGGGTTGCTCTTGACATTATTTTGTGCTTCACTCCAGTGCACGTAAGCTGCCAGACATCAGTGTCCGGCAGTCAGGGGTCAAGGGAAGCTGTTCCTCCAGGGCCTGTATCTGGTCAGGAGGGCAGTGCTGGGCTCCATGGTCGAGCTGGGCCTAGAGCCTGCTGTGTGTGTGCTGCCCAGGGCCCGCCTCCACTGTGGTGCAGATGAGCAGCGATGAGGATGGC